GGGGGGAGGAAGAGGAAGGAGGGAGGAGGGAGGAGGGAGGAGCGAGGAGGGAGGAGGGAGAAGGGAAGAAGGGACGAGGGAGGGACCCAGCAGAAGAAGCACAGTGGAGCGAGTGCAAAACTTTGGAGGCCCGCGCGGTCCTCCTGGATCGACGCTGGATCCCCCCCATAGCGGCACTGATCACAAGAGACCCCGCGCGGACCTCGGAAGGTTCCAAGGCCACGCTAACGGCGATGCTGCTGAGCGCGATCCTGGGAATATGCTTCTTTCGACGCCGAACTCGAGCAGAGCAAATGGTAGGAAAGCACTAACCACGCTTTCCTACAATTGGGTTGGCCACGAACCACCCCTACCTACAATTGCGAAACCTACATCGCCGTTACCTACATCGCCGCTTCCTACATCGCCGTTGCCTAAATCGCAGTGAGCCCTCCACGGACTATGAGATCCGACGTTGCGAAACAAACAGTAGGATCGCGAAACACATCGACCGGAACCAAGACCCCATGTTTCTGCTGCATGTTGCGAATCGGCTCAACCTACGCTGGCCCCAGGGCCCGAAACCGGGCGAAGACGCCCGGTGTGAACAAAATGTCATGTTGGATCGTCGGGAGACCTTGTTTATCCTAACGCGACGGCATCCGCGCCGAATCCGCGTCGAATCTGTATCGAACTGGTCGAACCTGCGTCGAATTCGAGTCGGATCCGTATCGAACCTTTGTCGAATCCAGGCCCGGTCTGCGTCGACTCCGCTTGGAAAATGCACCGCACACCAGAAAAGGACAGCCGTTGACAGGACAGGCAAGGCCCCCCGAAGTCGCAACATCAAAGTGCAACGCCCAGATCTCGAGGTCGTCGTCGTCGTCGTCGTCGTCGTCGCCGTCGTCGTCGTCGTCGTCGTCGTCGTCGTCGTCGTCGTCGTCGTCGTTGTCGTCGCCGTCGTCGCAATGTCTACAGGTCTCCTAGATGGGGTCCGAGTAGATGGGGTCGAAGGATCGCACCGCATCGCCAATGCATCGCCGATGTATTGGCGATGCATCGGCGATGCACTGGTGACGTCGGCGATGCATCGGCGACGTAGGCGTGGAGAAAATCGAATCGGGCTCCGCATCGAACCGCATCGCCGATGCATCGGCGATGCGGCGCGATCCTCCGACCACATCTGCTCCGACCCCCTCTAGGAAGCCTAGAATGTCCAGATCTCGAGGTCCTGCCCCGCCCGCCACTCGGGCCAGGCAGCCGCGCGCCCGCCGGCCGCCACACCGACGGCGCAGCGGCGGCCCCCGCCGCCGCCGCGGCAGCAGGCGCCCGCGCCGGCCGGAGGCCTGGCCCAGGCATCCGATGCCTCTGGTTCCTCCACCTCCTCCTCCTCCTCCTCCTCCTCCCTCCTCCTCCTCCTCCTCCTCCTCCTCCTCCTCTCTCCTCCCCTCTCCCTCCTCCTCCCCCCCCCCCCCCCCCCCCTCGTCATCACCAGCATCACCATCAGCAGCAGCAGCATCATCAGCGTCGTCATCAGCATCAGCATCGCGAGCATTCCCAGCATCGTCATTGCGATCATCAATATCATAGTCACCATCACCGTCACCATCATCCGCACTGTTTCCTGCATACGAGGCCCTCAAAAATCTCTGGACCTTTTCGCCAGGGCCGGCTCTTCCTCCTGAGTCGTTTCTGCTCGACTGCACGTTGGTGTTCGACTACGTGCACGCGAGAGCGGCCCTGGGCAAGAGGAGCCCCTGGTGCGCGGCTTTGTGGGGGCCGCGGGCGGGCCAAAGCCGAGCGCGCAGGCCAGCGCTGGGGGGACCCCTGTGGGCCCGCACGCAGAGTCACTCCGACGAGCAGCTGATCTCTCACCGTCTCGGGGCCCAGCGAGGGACCCGAGGTGCCGAAAACTGGGAGAGCAGCTTCCGCGTGGAACTTCTCGTGACGTTGGAGGTCTGGGCAGGGTCGAGGCCTGACTGCACGCCGGTCGCACGACATCCGTCCATGGCCCGCGGCCGGGTCGCCCGAGCGGTGCCCCTGTCCGGGCTCGCGCGCCCCGAGCCACGGCAGCTGCATGTTCGGGCGTAGCCTGGCTGGCCCCCTCTTACCAGCCTGCACCCTATCCCTGTCCCTGTGATTGGCATCAGCGTGTCTCGACGCCAATCTTCAGGATTCCCTCCGCTTCTGGGAGCGCATCCCTAAGATTTGTCATTGCATCTGAGCTTGTCAATCTTAAGGGTCTAGATGAACTCGAGGCCGGCTGACTTCTGTGACGAACCGCTTCCGCGACGACACCTACTCCATCCATCCACCTGCCCGTGTCGAGCACAGACTGAAGAGGCCCCAGGACACACAAATAAATACACACAAAAGAAAATGTCCCCATATTTTCATATATTTTCTGGGTTTCTGTCTGCCCCCCCACTTCCCACATTTTCCAATATTTTCAAGGGAATCAAGGATTAATTGTGTCTGTGTGCTTCTTTTCCTCCTGACAGACCTCCATCGTCAACGCGCAAGCAATTGCTTCACCATGTTCGGCATCTCGTGGCCCTCGCCGGGCCCCGGGACCGACAATTAACGACCCTCTGGATGAAGAACCGGCCCTGGGCAGAAGTTCGCACGCCAGACCTGGGTACAGTTGGGGCGTTAACCCAAGGAACCCTAAATAAGGAACGGGGCCTCTTATTCCCATAAGTCAAACTCCGATTTTCCATGGAAAACCTAAGGAAAACACAAGGAGCACTGTAAAACACCTAAGGAACACGGAGCCCCTCCCCAACGACAAGGGTTCCTTCTTCAGGGCCCCGACTGTAGGTACGGAAATGGATACGATGTCCAACAACAGATGCGGCCGCTGTTGGGCAGGCGGCCTTCTGTATCAAATGGACAACTCCCGCGGCGACACCGACAACGAGTACTGTTCAAAAGGCGCAGGGTCCGCTCTCAGTCTTTGCACCCATTCTTTCCGTAATCACTTCGATCGTCTCGAAAAGGGCGGGACCACTGGGGACCCACACTGAGAGACTGAAGACGAGAGAGGCCTGGTGGAGCGAGTCGAGGGCTATGTCACGGAAGGGGGATCCGAAGCTTCGATTATTCGAATACGACGCCCCCCGAAAGTCTCAGCCCCCCCCCTCCTCGTCGGCCGTCACTTGACCCCCCCAGGGCCCAGCGAGGACCCACAGAGGCGGCAAACGGCGAAGCAACTCCGCCTGGACAAGAGAGCCCAGAATCGAATCGATGAGTCGGATCGGCGATCGCACTGAATCGGATCGGCGGGCATCGGCAGCCGAGTCGGGGAAAAGTGGAATCGGCGGAAATCGGCAGGCCAGTATGCGTCCGATAAAAGAAATCTGAACCCGAAGCGGAATCCCAAGTCGAATCGAATCGGCATCGGAGGCCATCGAAATCGAACGCATCGAATCGGAGGAATCGAAACGAGCCCCGCCCTGACTGCCGCCGCACGCCGGCAGCCAGGCCGCCCCCGCAGAGCCCGTGGGCAGAGGGCCTCGAAGGCTCCGTGCCCGCCGCACCGGCGGGGCCCCGAGCGGCTGGTCGCGGTCGGGGCGAGGCCCGGCGCCGCGCACCGGCCGACTGCCCGGAGATGATCGAGGCGTGACAACGGCGGTCGGCGGAAAAGGCATGGGGCTCCGAGAAGGCGGAGCCGACCAAAGCGGGCCAGCTGCCACGGGCGCCGTGCGGGAGCGGCCTGGCCGGCAACCAGGGCACCAGGGGCTCGCGTGGCGTTCAGCCGGGCGACAAGGCCCAGCTGGACGGGATCCACAGCCAGGCCCCCGGGAGTGGGGTTATGTCGGGCGTGTCCCCCTACAGGGGGATCTTCTACGAAGAAATCAAAAATACCCCAAATATACTCCAAAAAGATCAGAAAATAATCCAAAAATAATCACCAAACTATTGTTGTACGATTTTTTGATTATTTTTGTGTATTTTTCATGTTTCGTCAAAAATCCCCATGTAGGGGGACACGCCCGACATAAAGCTAGACGGGATCCACAGCCAGGCCCCCGGGAGCGGGGGCGGGCGCACCCTGACCTTCCAGGAGGGCTAAAAAATAGCACGCGACTTAAAAATCTATCCCAGAGCTATTCTATGTCTTGGTTTTACATATGCTGCTTCGTTTCGTTTTTTGGGTTTTTAGGCCTCCCGTGCTAACAAAAATAGCTCTCTGGGAAGGTCAGGGTGGTCCTTACCCCCCTGGGGGGCCCATCGATTTCGACACCCATCTCGAGAGATCGTCGATGATCGATGGGTTCCCCCAGGGGGGTAGGGAGCACAGCTCCCCCAGCTGTGGCTGGTCGGACATGTTCGCCGCCCGTGGAGAGGGCTGGGACACGCTGAGCCAGGAGGTGCTGCTGCTGCGCTGCGACCTGGCCGCTGCCCTCGAGGGCGGCAGGCTGTACCCGCGAGAGGAGGATCCACGGACGAAGGGCGGCGCAGCACCAGACGAAGGGGGAGGGGGGGGGAGAAAGGGGAGGCTCCACCTGTGCAGAGTGGGCCGGGAGTGGGGGCGGGAGCAGGGGTGGGAGCGGTACGCTCGGCAGAGGGCGCGCTGCCGGCGGACGCGTCTGCGCGGGCGCGGGGGCGGGGTCCGCCGACGGCTCCCGCAGAGCTGGCGCCACTGACTTCGGGAGCGGCCAAGAGGGGGGTGTCCATTCCTGACCTCCCAGAAAGCTAGGTTTTAGCACGGGAGGCCTAAAAGCCTAAAAAACGAAACGAAGCAGCCTAAAACCAAGACATAGAATAGCAGCTCTGGGATAGGTCTTTAAATTGCGTGTTATTGGCCCTCCTGGAAGGTCAGGGAAGAGGGGGGGGTGCAAATCATGACCGGCGGCACGTGCGCGGCCCAGCGGGGGGGCCAGGGACGTAGTGGAATAAGAAGAGGCGCCATAAAATCTAGGGAAATATCATGGCCCCCGCCATGATATCCACCCCCCCTAGTCATCGCCCCCCTCTTTGCCGCTCCCGATTACTGGCTGGCGCCCCCGAGCTAGCAGCACCAGGGTCCAGGGGCGGAGCGCTGCCTGTTGGGCGGGGGAAGGGCGCCGGACAGGCGCGCATGCGGGTGGCCTGCCAGTCGCGCGAACTCCCGCACGCTGGGAAGCACACTTCGGCAAGGGAGGAGGAGGAGGAGGAGGAGGAGGAGGGAGGAGGAGGAGGAGGAGGAGGAGGAGGAGGAGGAGGAGGAGGAGGAGGAGGAGGAGGAAGAGGAGGAGGAGAAGAAGGAGGAGGAGGAGGAGGGAGGAGGAGGAGGAGGAGGAGGAGGAGGAGGACGAGGAGGACGAGGAGGAGGAGGAGGAGGAGGATGCATGATAGTCCGTTTTCCTCCCGCCAGAGCGAAATCGTTCTATATAAGGATGTGCGTTGTCCCCGAGGCGAGGCCGAAGGCGAGAAACGACACTGACACGAACAGCGCTGAATAGATTCCTCTGCCTACCTGTGCCTCGGCCAGCTTTACAAAAGGGGGGGGAGGGTTTGAGTAAAGCTTGAGCCCGCCAGGGCGGCAAGGCGGCGGGCTCCCACTCTCTCTCCCGGCAGACCCGTACTGAAGTACTCGAATGCATGATAGTCCGTTTTCCTCCCGCCAGAGCGAAATCGTTCTATATAAGGATGTGCGTTGTCCCCGAGGCGAGGCCGAAGGCGAGAAACGACACTGACACAAACAGCGCTGAATATATTCCGAACTTGTTAGTAAAGCCCACCGACACCAGGAAAAAAACATTTGCGAACACTGTCCTGGACTCATACATGTGGCCGAAATACACTCACTGATTTCTGTAAAAGAGCATGCCGAATAGCGGTTGCGATCGCCCGACACAGGGGGAAGGGGTAGACCTCCGCCTGCTTAGAAACAATCCTGGAGCCTTTCATCTCCAGGGTGAAGTGAGGCTTGCCGGTGAAGGAACAGGCCCCTCGCCCACGACATCGAAGACCCAGCAGCTGCAAGCCGACGTGAACATCCCAGGAGCCGGGTTGATTTTCTCCAGGCCGTGCCGAAAGCGCACATGTCGAAAAGAACTTCACTGACTCCAGGAAGACTTCGGGCACGAAGGGCCGCAGGCTGTCTCCATAGATGGGAGCTCGCTGGATTTTCGACGATACGATCACTGGACAATCGCACAACCGGCATTCACGAAATATGCTGAAGGTGGCGGCGCACAAGGAGTTGCCGAGGTCGACTTCCCTGCGGCAACTAGCACTGAGATTCGGCAGGCCGGCGGGGAACTCGGAGGCCCGCAAGGTAGGCGGACCGTTCGGGCGGTTCCTGGCCAATGAGAACGAGTTACACGGGGTTCCCATGAACGCAGACACAAATGAGCCGCCCCCGATCCAACCTCTAGTCAGTTTGATAAGCTTCTTGTTGCACATGTTGTGATCGGACCCGTGTCGAATGTCGATCTCGAAAACTGGGTGGCCTACACTCCTTAAAGACCTTCTGAGCGTCTCAGAGAGGTGATTAGAGCCTGCGAAGATCTCGGGAATGGCGGGGCGCCTCATGAGCTTCACAAGGCGCGGCAAGCATTCGCGAGGGCGGCGCCAATCCTCGAGGCCGCGTCCTCTGCGGCGCGCAGAAGGGTCTGGTCGAGGGCGCTCAGCTGCTCGTTGATGCGGCCCCCCCTCTCGTAGCGGACAAGGCCGCGGTCGCTCGCCCAGCGGCCGCCCTTCTTGGCACTCAAGAGCGTGCGCACTTTGAACAGAAGGTCGTGCGACACCCCTCCGCGGCGAAGGCGGTAGAGGCACGGCTCGCCGAGGGCGCCCATGCCGACGGCGACGGACGCGGACTTCAGCGAGCGGCCCCACGCGGCCTGGCCGAAGTTGAACACCAGCGCGCCGCTGGGGAACTTTGCCCTGGGCGCTGCCAGCAGCTGCGGGAGCCAAAGGAACAGCGGGTTGTCGGCCGGGAGGCTCTCGTCCACGCATCCTGTCTTGGGCGCGTCTCCCCCCTCTTGGGGGCGGGGGAGGATCGACCACATCTGGCTCGCACCGTCCTATTGGTGGCGGCCCGCACCAGCGGGAGGCGTGATCAGCTTCCCCTTCAGGCGCAGAGCTCTCGCTCGGCCGAAGGTAGAAGACGAACGCGATGGCGCGCGCGATGGCCTCCAGCACCTGGCCCGCGCCGATCATGCGGAGCATGCACAGGCAGAAGGCGATCCAGGGGTACGGCAGGCGACTCTGGGCAGGCACCATGCGCCTCCAGCCCGCAAGGGCGCGCGCGCTGCGGGGCAGCTCCAGCGGCAGCCCGTGGGGGTGCGACCAGAAGTACCGGAGGCCCGCCATGGGCTTGGTCGGCACGCACGCGAGCTCGCCTTGGAAGAACTTCTCCTGCATGTAGGTCGTCAGCGCGAGGCCGATGTCCGAGGCCGACGTCAGGAAGGCCGCCAGGTCGCACGCCTGGCCGCGGTGCAGGCACCGCTCGTGGAAGGCCTTCACGCACGACTGGTAGTCGATGGCGGCCTTCGGGGTGACGCTCTGCAGCTCGAGGAAGGACGGCTCGGTGGCCGTCGCGGCGGCGTCGGCGGCTGCTGGGAAGGCCCTCGCCCTCTTGACGGCTCGCCGCTCCGACGCACCCGGGCCGTGGGGCACCCGCTCGCGGTAGGGGCGCCGGCCGCTCGGCCCAGGAAGGTCGGGCGCCGCCATCGAGCGCGGCAGGCCCCCGGCGCGCGCGGCCGGGGCGAGCGGCATCGGCTGCCGGCTCGCCGCCGAGGCCGACGCCGACGAAGCCATCGCTGAGGGCCTGGAGGCCTGCGGGGCCCAGGGCGGCTGCTGGGTTCGGCGCGGCATGGAAGCGGAAAGCCCCGGCCCGCCCTCGAGAAGCAGCGTCGGCTGCGTTGGACTCGACCCACCTCCAGACGACATAGCAGTTCGAGGAAACAAGCAGGGCCGCAATCTGCCGGCAGCACTGCAGCATACCTGGACTCGATGATCGCCCTTTCGTGACCGCCAGGATGGGGGCCACGCAATCGTTCAGGACCAGGTGCTTGCGACCGAAATTATGGGTGCTCCGAACGATGTGATTCACAGTAAGAACCAAAGAGCGGGCCTCGAGGACAACCTGGGCCTCCTTCCGGGCCCACTTCTGGGACATAACGAGGGGCCAGCCGCCGTTGTACATAGACTCGGGGACCTCGGGGAAGGGGCCTTCGGGATCTCGGAGTCCTGGGGCGAGGCGGCGACGCCGCCACTGACGGCGCACTTCTGGGCTGAGTCCCGAGGCGTGAGGGAGGCCTCGTGGGCCGCGGAGTAGCGGAGCCGCTCGAAGCGGTGGCCCACGCGCTGGACCTCCGTGACAGCACGGCACCCACGGACCACACCAGCACCCCACCACGACGCATCGGTGCAGTAGACCGAGGGGGACCAGGCGGCGTCGGCGTCGCGGAAAGCGAGTGTGATGTGGGCGGCGCACCAACGAAGCTCTCTTTTTACAGACTTCCACAGAACTCGAGAGTCGTGACCAGCGCTCTCGATGAAAGAATAGGAGGCCTGCAGACATGATAAAAGCTCCCGGCGCAGTAAAGCCCAAGACGTGAAGTGCGACACGACGACCCGAACAAGGTCCCCGGAGGCGCAATTCATGTTCGTCACCGCCAGGCACCCAAGACGAATACGCCAGCCTACACGGTGACTGATCCCGATCGTCGGCGACTCCGCGTCGAAGGTCCAGCCGAGAACGCCCCCGCCAGCTGACGCCGTCGGGCCGTGCGTGCGGAATCCCGCCTCACGGAGGCTGCGGTCGACGTAGTCAGTCACGGTGTACGTGGGGGTCTGGGAGAGGCCCAGGGCAAAGAAATGGTCGACATACTCAGCATGTAAAACCTCGTTAGAATCACGGCAAAGTCGGACAGGGAAATGAGCATCATCGAAGGCTAAGCTAGGAGAAGCCAGAGTATTGGTACGAGCTCGAAACTCCATGATTCGCTGGCAAATCCAGAGGCCGTGCTTCCACCCCATGGGTACGGCGGAAAAACAAGGCGTGACCCACTCAGAGGCCCTCAAGGGCCGCCCCGCGCTGTCGACCGAAATGCCCAAGACCCCAGCACGAACACGAGGAAGCCCAAAGTGCTGCCAAAACTCTTGAGGTAACTGGATTCCATAGAAAGCATTATCAATATCTGTTTCTCCCACGAAGATGGGGCCCCCTCCGTCAACCTCCAGTGCCGAAAAGGCCGAGCCAGTTAGCTAGGTCAACGTGAGGGGGGTATCCAAAGTGCTCTCCTGCCTGCCGCCCGTCCAGGATAAGACGGAGGTCGCCGTTCTTCTACGCTACAAAGAAGACTCCGACGCGGGAAGTGCAGTCACGCCGCCACGTCACTAGGTTCGATTCTTTCAGACGGTAGAGAAAGCGTGCATAAAGCCGAGGATGGGAACGGAGGTAAGGATCGTTGTAGACTCTGGGGACAAAGGAAAAGGTATCTGCAACAGCTGGACCAGGACGCCGCAGCGCATGCAACTCATCAACTATGGCTTCGCCGACGGGGCCGCCCAGCTGCACAACATGCGCGGGTGACCACCTCGCGGGAGGAAGGGCGACACGATCTAAGTTGGCCTCGCTGATGGGAACCACTGAGCTGCCAATCTGCTGGTAGCCTGGGCTGATGCGGAGCTCTCGCAAGGCCCCCGCTGGTGATAGGTCATCGGGTGGTTTGCCAAAACGACAGACTGCACGCTGGATATGACCCAAACATGCTTCCTCGGCGGCCGATAGCTTATGCACGCAATCCAAACCACGACATCCGTCTAACTCGTTCAACACGGTAACCACCTCCGAGACCAGGGGCGCTGACTGACGGTGGACCTCGAATCTCCCACGAACTTTGCGAGAGACAGGGGCCCTAGAGGGGTCGAGGGAGGCCGGCGCAGGAAGGGGAAAAAGGTCACGGGGGCAAGCGCGCGCCATGGGGCCAGGTGCCACACGAAGGCGCGAGAAAGACTAGGACAAAGCACAGAGAAGTGCCGGCGGCCTCGAGCGGCTGAAAATCAAGGCGCGCCTGCCACAGCGAGCCCAGCCCCTCGGAGAATGTGCGACGGGCGCCAGGGGGGCGGCGACCACGCGCGCGCCGCGAGGTGGATCCCCGAGGCGCGCTGGATCTTGGGCTAA